CCAGTCAGCAGGAAACGACTGACTGACTGACTAAGTTTGGTTTTACGCCGCTTTTAGCAATATTCCAGCAACATCACGGCGGGGGACACCAGAAATGGGCTTCACACATTGTGCCCATGTGGGGATTCGAACCCGGGGTCTTCGGCGTGACGAGCCAACGCTTTAACCATTAGACTACCCCACCGCCCCCAGCAGGAAACGAGACTCTTGTGTAATCAATGTTCTGACTTGACTTGTACTGTGGATGCATCTACGACTCGGCCCGATAATTGTATTACCTCCCATTGCTGGCTCCGCCTTCTAACAGCAGCCAATCAGAAAAGCCGTTAAAACCTGTGTCAACAAAGCCGCGAACGTTTGCTCGCTGGGCGACTCAGATTGAGGGAACAAAACATAGAGACAAATTGACAGGTATGAAACCTTTAAAAATATATGCAAGAACTCTTTCTACCTTTTTCAGTGTACTTTTGCAACAATTGTGTTGCCAAGTTTAATCGGTTAGATAAGAGTGAGTGAGTGAGTTTAGTTTTATGCCGCTCTTAGCAATATTCCAGCAATATCACGGCAGGGACACCAGAAATGGACTTAACACATTGTGCCCATGTAGGGAATCGAACCCGGGTTTTCGGCGTGACGAGCGAATGCCTAAACGACTAGGCTACCCCACCGCCCCGGTTAGATAAGAGAAGCGGGAGTGAGTGAGTGATGTAGAAGCCTTGTTATTGGTACGCTCAACTGATTGGATAAATAGCAAAGATGCATCCAGGGTACCAGTGGAGATTTATGGGAACGTATACCCTGGAGATTATCGAGGATGAATATTATGGTACAAGCGTCAAGCGTCTCTGTATGAACTGTTCTCTGCAGAGTATGGGTAAAACTGTTACCTGCACCAAACCGTGGTGCTTTTGATGAACGCACTAAAGAAGGTAAGCTCAGATCGGAGTGTCGAATTGAGTGTAAAAGTCGGCGAGCGTGACTAAAAACGGCAAAACGCTTTCCAAGAAATTTCTGCTGAAATCAGTCGATATTCGATTCCAACTATATCAGGAACATGTATGAATTGTCATCAATTAATGATAACAGCGGGTACTCGACAAAAGGAGCGTATCCTGCCCAACCAGTGACAGCGTCATAAACAAATGGAAAGGCTAGTCATTTGTTCACCTAAATAAATAACATATAATACAAGTCAAAAGAGGCACTTGAATTAAGCTTTACAGAGAAGTTGTTAGTGGGAGTAAAAAACTCAATGTACTGAAAAACAATCACACACATTAATTTTGCATTTCAGGTTGTGTTACATACAATGAGCAGTTTGTCAATGAAATATATCTTTTATTAGAGAGACGTTCAGCATGAAAAAGTATACTTAGTCAAAAACCCAAAGGCCAGATAAACGTCATTACCAAATGGATGTCTCGTTCAAATAAACACATTTAAAGAGCAATGAACTCAGAAGAACATGTGCACATTAAACTACATACTTAACGAGGCCTTTACAAGTCCATTTGATCAAAACAAGTAAAATGTGCAACAAAATGCTGAAGCAGGAACTGACAATTTGTTATTCAGGATAATGCTTCTTTGTACCACGCTAGTAGATCATGACTTTTAGGCATGGTAATTTTAACGAGTTATCTGTCAAGGGCGGTAGCCCAGTGGTTAACTTATTCACTAGTCACATCGGGTTCGATTCCCCGTATGGGTTCCCGGTGTGAAGCCCATTCCCGGTGTCCTTCGTCGCGATAGTATGAGTTTAGAAATATTCCAGAAATCGTTTTCACACACTGTACCCATGTGGGACATGGGACCATGGACGTCAGCGACGAGCGGACGCTTTAACCACTAGGCCACCGCATCGCCCCTATGAAAATAATCAAAATATCATTTTTTTGCGAAGGGTGAACATATCCTGCCCACACTTGTCAAAAACATATGCCAAGGCAAGTTAAATGTTTACAGCAAACAAAATCGTGAATGCATTACAGAAGTCTAAGTGGGAGTTTCCGTCGAATACCATTTTTGTCAATGTTATGAATATCCAATGCTAGATGGTGAAATGTCCTTCTATGTGTATGTAAAACGTTTCGAAATCTTCATTGAGGTCTTGAATGTTGTAACCTTGATCGAACTACGTCTGAGTCGTATGACGTTCTTTGAAATTTTGGAGAAAAAATGTACCTCAAAAGCTGACAACTGTCAACACACAAGACTGGAGCTGTTGGAATATTGCTAGACCTGATGGCACGTTCACTGCTGGTATGTTGCTAGACCTGATGGCACGTTCACTGCTGGTATATTGCTAGACCTGATGGCACGTTCACTGCTGGTATATTGCTAGACCTGAAGGCACGTTCACTGCTGGTTAAGAAAGTGTCGCCAAAAACACCATATCACGCCATGACACATAGTCATATGTTATTTGTCACCTCGTTATTTCAAGACAAACTACCATGATCCGTGAGGATGTTATCACGTAGACTCAGAATTATTTCCTAGTTAACGTCAAAAGACGTGTTCGTCAGGACGGCCTGAACACGTCTTTTGACGTTAACTAGTAATTAATTCTGAGTGATAACATCCATGTGCGATTTGTAGAAGAACATTTATACAAGAATCAGCCTCTCCAAGACTCTATGGTTGACATTTAGAGGCTATCATGATCTGACCACAAGTACACACATTCTCATGACACAGGCAGAGCTAAAGAACACACTCTACTTTAAGCAGCGGGTTCTTATACTTATGAACATGATGACCGTTTTGACGCTTTCATTCATGACAAGTTCTTGTTGAAGCTTGTGATTGTTCAATGAAGCATACACGGACAAGATGGCCGTGGAAAGTCGCGTCAAACAGGATACACCAAACGCCAAAAGAAACGTTACCCTCCTTCCTTAATGATGGCGGTACCTATCTTCAGCTGGCGTTCTGATGCGTGGACGTCCGATTCCTCGACACTATACGGTGACCCCAGTCTGTCTGAAGCCCTGAATAAATCTTATAACCGTGATACGGTGGCATCTAAAGGAGTTGGCAACATCATTGCATGTCGACCCCATCTGCACCATCCAAATGGCTCTTTCTCTCCAGCTGTTAATCGTGGCATATTTCTCGTACTTGTGTATCATATCATGTATTTTATGCTTTCTTCATACCCTGTACAAACATTCTACATGTGAAATTGATGCAAATACTGCTTGAATATTGCTGCGTTTTGGCGATTGATATTGCTATGTGTAAAAAGAAAATCGAAAAGTGTTACTTTGCAAGCAAAAATAATAACAAAGCTAATTTTAGATGTTCCTAAACATTTTTATTAAATATATAAAACGCGTTTTACTTGTTTTCACTAATGCAAATCAGTAGAATTTTTTTGTTTTAAAAGACTGAAATCACAGGAATGATTATTTTAAAAATTTATACAGTCTACAACAGTTGTTTCTTGTTTTAAAAATGGCGACTCTAATGGTTTATCATTGTCCCAAAGCAGAATTTTATTTCAACCTTTCTTTTGGACATCAAAATCACTGTTATTGGTTTCTTTCGGCATCGACGAATATAGGACAATTTAACTCTTCTGAAAAGGATGCTTTTCACCTAAATATGAATGCATTTGAGAATTGTTTTCGTGATTTGCATAAAGCTGTTTTATTAAGCTTTCTTGTAAACTAATACCTTCTAAGATATCTGTGATAGTTTTTCAGTAATTCATAAAGGTAGGAGGGCAACGTTTCTTTTGGCGTTTAGTGTATAGTAGCTGGGACATAATAATGTTGTCTTCGTGACAGTTTACATTGATTACAAAGGTTGTACTGAAATGAATGCGGGTCTTTCTTTGCGTCTGTTTATCTCTACCTGAATCATTTCCTTTATGACGCCGACACGTGTCACAGCAGATTAACACAGAGTAAAACTCTCTGTAGCAGAGATGTTTAGTAGCAGGACTGACAAGCTCAGGACAGCTCATGTTTTGATATGAGTGTTGATCCCCAAATGGGCAGGCCACTGAAAATGTAAAATGTTTAAGATTATTTGAAGTTTGTGGCATACAATGTTTGCAGTTTGACAGCATTTGGGGTGCTTCTGTAACTCCTGCGGTAAACACATGCTTCTGCGTATTTCGTATCAATTATAGATTTGAAGGACTATATTTTCCAGACATGTAGGAACTAAGTAACATTATTTTTCTAGAATGGTATTGGGATTTCAAACTTCACAGTTCTGAACTAACGGCCAAAAGAAACGATTTCATTTTTGATAATTGGGACTCTAACTCAAATTTTGTAGGAAGTTATGAGCTTAAAACAATCGCCACAGCGCTTCCCTAACATTTGTCATGAAAATGTTGTGTTTGGGCGAACAGTATCACAGCAACAGGTCGTGAAGCACGAGAATCTCGTGAACTGATTGCATGAAGCTGGTGCATCTTTGGGGTATAAGAGCGCACACAAACCTTCCACGACATCAGACCTTCAAGTCAACTTCAGCGACCATGCCCCGATTATCGCTGGAATCCAGAGAGAGAGAGCCTTTGGAAAGGTACACATCGGCGCCTCTCATGCACATGATGCAGCGACCTTTGGCTGTACCGTCTAACCATCACGAGGCTGATGACCCGCTACAGGCAAACAGGGCAGACAGTAGACAGGCCCAGAAGTAGAGGACCTCGCGTCACCACCCCCAACGGAGACCCTACTTAGGTATCCTGCACCTGAGAATCCGTTTCCCATCTGTGACGTCATCAGCTGCGACTGAGCGTGGACATCCTATCAGTCGACGAACAGCAGCACGACGACTCAGACAATACGGCATCTGTGCCTACAGACCCCACTGTGGTGTACGGCTGACGCTTCAGCATCGACGTCAACGTCTTCGCAGGGGCACGCACGGTTCGCCAGTGGCAAAACAGACAGTGGCAGAGAGTGATGTTCTCAGACGAAAGCAGGTTCCAGCTGTTCAGGGATGATGGCAGGGCTCGTGTCTACAGGCGTCGTGGAGAACGTGTGCAGCGTTACAGGAAGTGGAACCGTGTGGCGGCGGTAGTGTTATGGTTTGGGTCGGGATATGTGACGATATTATGACAGATCTTGTTGCGGTGGATGTTAATCTCACTGCTCAACGATACATTGATCAAATTCTGTGTCTGGTTGTGCTATCATTCCTACGTCAACGCCCTAACCGGATCATGTTCCTGCAGGACAACGCCCGTCCTCATACATCACGTATTGTCATGGATTGTCTACAGAGAAACAACGTCAATGTACTTCCTTTGCCCTCCAGGTCACCTGACATGTCACCATTTGAACACTTGTGGGACCATTTGGATCGTCAGACTCGTGCTAGAGCCGTTGTTCCTGGAAACCGACGTGAGTTTGTCCAAGCCATTCAAGAGGAATGGCGAACGGTCCTTGACCAACACGTTCTCAACACGTCGTAGAGTTAGGGAGGGCTTCCATTGATGCCCACGGTGGGCATACCAGATAAGGACCACGTGTGTTGTTTTGTTTACATCTTTGATCGAATACTGGACACTTTCACTCCTTCACTTATACAGTGATTCAATGGACTTGTTATTGTTGCTACTCCAATGAAATGACTGAGTGCATGTTGACCATACACCTGTTATTAAAATTCACTGTCCTTTTTCACAATGGTGGTTTGTCGTTTTGTAATATCAGTGATTTCGACTTGGTATCGTTTCTTTTGCCCGTTAGTATATATTGTTTGACACGTAACAAAACAGGTAACAGTTTGTATGTTAAACAAATAGTATCGGCTATAAGTAATCACAGAGTATTTTGTAAGGATGAAGGTTTCAAGATATGCTTACATCTAAATTACAGATTAAATGAAAGCTTTTGATCGATGCTTACAGTCTTGTTCAGGGGCATCAACTGAGGACACACACTCTCCAGAAACACACCACTGTAATAAATTTAGAATGTACAGGGCGATTAAGCGGTGTCATATATATGTGTGAGATTCATCATTCATGTAATATCAGTATATATTTTGCCTGAATATTTTTCAAATTACATGGAGAACCGTGTTAGCAACTCATGCTTGTGGTAAGAGGCGAGAATCGGATGGTCAGACTTTCTGACTTGGTTGACACATGTCATCGTATCCCAACTGCGTAGAGCATTGTTCATGATATCAATCATTGGATTGTCTGGTCCAGAATTGATTATCGACAGACCGACGTCATATAGCCGGAATATTGTTGAGTTAAACACATAAACAAACAAACAAACAAAGAACACTGAAGCAAGCTATCCCTGACTTTACAGCAGAACGGAAATCTTCACCTACCTGTCTGTTGCCACACGTTGTACCGTCCACGGCGTTGATGCTACTGCACAATCCCGGCCGATGGGGAAGGTAACAGTAGAGCCTCTTACAAACACTGACGCTAGAGTTCACATCCTGGACAAAAATATATCTAAAGATGATACCTTCCATTTGGAACTATAGCATTACAAGGAGACATATTGCCTATTCCAGATAATGAAACTTTAAATATTCATAACATTAGTATTGCATTAAATATAATATATCGGAGCTACGTTGCGATGTAAACTTTAAACTTTGTTTTAAAGCTAAAATAAACAATACTTTTTTCAAGGTATGATTCGTCAATGTTTGAAGCTGTGAAGATCCGGGTCAGAATTGGTCTTCAGAGAGCCTGCATGTCGTACGAGACTCCTGGTGGTATTGGGTGATCAGACTCGCTGACTTGGGTGATGCATGTAATCGCATCCTTTTGCATAGAATGATGCTCATCATACCATTCACAGGATTGTCTGGTCCAAACGCGACTATTTTGCAGACAGCATACTAAGAGCTGGAATATTGCCGAGTGCGGCATAAAACAACAAAGATGTTGGAAAACCGGCGATGGGAGCCGCGATCTACTTTGGGTCACGATGACACCCAGTCACCGAAGTCCAACCAATCAACTAATTTGTAGGTTTCCGTACACCACTTCAAACCCGGATTGTCCACTTTCGATACGTACCAAGCACATATAGGAAGTGGGGCCATATTTCATCTGACACTGCTCGTTTACGTTGTACAGCTGACCAGGCAATACACCGGTGACGTTCGTCACAGACGCCGGTTCTAGAGATTCCAGGAGGCAGCTCCTGGAAGTGGTATCACTGTGGAAAGAATATCTCATGAATTGTTAAACATAGTAAAACATATTACATTTTTTATCTGGTCGTTTTTATTTTTGTTTTTGTTTGCTGCTTTACAATGAACTCTGCTGCTTTACAATGAACTCTGCTGCTTTACAATGACCTCTGCTGCTTTACAATGAACTCTGTTGCTTAACAATGTGAACTCTGCTGCTTTACAATGAACTCTGCTGCTTTACAATGAACTCTGCTGCTTTACAATGAACTCTGCTGCTTTACAATGAACTCTGTTGCTTTACAATTTGAACTCTGCTGCTTTACAATGAACTCTGCTGCTTTACAATGAACTGCTGCTTTACAAAGAACTCTGCTGCTTTACAATGTGAACTCTGCTGCTTTACAATGAACTCTGCTGCTTTACAATGAACTCTGTTGCTTTACAATGTGAACTCTGCTGCTTTACAATGAACTCTGCTGCTTTACAATGAACTGCTGCTTTACAAAGAACTCTGCTGCTTTACAATGTGAACTCTGCTGCTTTACAATGAACTCTGCTGCTTTACAATGAACTCTGCTGCTTTACAATGAACTCTGCTGCTTTACAATGAACTCTGTTGCATAGCTACGGCCTGGGAATGGTCAAGTCTTGACCAGCATCCATCGCAATGGACTCTCTGTCCTTTTACTAGCATCGCACGACCAGCATTGGCTGCTTGGGGCTAGTTTGAATCCAGCATCCAAAAAAGCAGCATAGCATTGTCATAAGAAACACCCGTGAAGATCCGGATTAGAATTGCTCTTCGGTAATCCATCCTTGTCGTAACTAACGAGATCGGGTGGTTAGGCTCGCTGACCTGGTTTACACATGTCATCGTATCCAAAATGTGTAAATCGATGCTCATGCTGTTGATCAGTGGATTGTCTGGTCCAGACTGGAATATTTACAGACCGCCGCCATATTACTGGACTATTGCTGACTACGGCGTAAAACTAAACTCACTCACTTAGTTTATGGCAGCGCTAGTCATAGCCAACAGCTTACCATCCAAAAGTGCAGATCTCGATTTTCAAAGTAAATATAAGTAAATGTTTCTTACCCTGCTAACACTTGGTCCAGGAAGGTCTGGAAATAGCGGATGGAGCAGTTAGAAAACAGGAAGTAATTCGTTATGCTGACGTTATGACGTGCTGAGTAGCTGCTGCTCATGATGTAGGCGTCAGTCCCAGAACACGTGTTGTTGTATTCCCCGTCATGCCGTGCACTTAGTCTGTAAACATACACGTAAGTGTGAGTGGGTGAGTGGGTGAGTGTGAGTGAGTGGGTGGGTGGGTGAGTGAGTGAGTGAGTGAGTGGGTGAGTGTGAGTGAGTGAGTGGGTGAGTGAGTGAGTGGGTTCGTTGGTGGGTGGTGGAGAGTGAGTGAGTGAGTGTGAGTGAGTGAGTGGGTGAGTGTGAGTGAGTGGGCGGGTGAGTGAGTGAGTGGGTTCGTTGGAGGGTGGGTGAGAGTGAGTGAGTGAGTGAGTAGGTGGGTGAGTGGGTGGGTTGGGTTAGTAAGTGAGTGAGTGGGTGGGTGGAAGGGATTGGGTTGGTTGGTGGGTGAGTGAGTGGGTGAGTAAGTGAGTGAGTGGGTGAGTGTTTGGTAGGGTGGGTCTTATGGTGAGTGAGTCGACGGGTTGAATTGTGAAAGAGAGGATGGGAGGGTGTCACCTGAATGAATGAGTGAGTGAAAAAATAGGCTGTGAAGTGAGTGCGTTTGTGATGAGTGTGCTGTGTAGTGAGTGAGTCACTAAGTGAGTGGTTGGGTGGGTGTCTGGGCGGGTGAGCGGTAGGTTGAGTGAGTGAATGAGAGGGTGGATGGGTGTTAGGTAAAGAATGAGTGAGTGACTGGACATCCCTTGTTACAGGAGACTTGCCTTACACTCACTCACTCATTCACTCACTCACTCCAAACGTCTACGTACGCATGCCCCATATCGTGAGCTGTCACCAGAAGATCATCCACCAGATTGTCGGTAAACTCCACTAGTGATATGCTGTGACCTGGCTTGTCACAGATAGTTCCAACGTATGCATAACCTGAAGACAATGAGGACAATAAATGCGCTGAATCTGGTGCTGAGTCTCCTTGCAGAGATGTTGCTCGGGGGGACGAAGGTCAAGGTCAAACAGTCGACAGACATAGCCATCATCATAATAATAATTAATTATAATGTCAGAATGTGAATGAGCCAGTGAGTGAGTCAATGAACGACTGAATTGTGTTTAACTCCGCAGTTCGCAATATGCCACCTATATTTGTCCCTCAGTAAATTGGAAGAAAAACAATTTTCTGAAAGCATGAACAGCGTCTTCATTTTGGAACAACAACGTCTTCATCAGGGAACAACAACGTCTTGATCTGGGAACAACAACGTCACCGGAGACGACCCGCAGAGTCCTAATGGCAACTGGATGCCGATGACCTGTTCTCAATATCCCATGTTGTTTGAAGTTTAGCCAGATAACCCAATGATCAACAGCATGAGCATCGATCTACGCAATTTGGATACAATGACATGTGTCAACCAATTAGTGAGCCTGACCACCCGATCCGTCACTTCTTACGACACGACAGTCATAGATTACTAAAGACCAATTCGAACCCGGATCTTCATGGGTCGGATACAATAAGATCCCGTCAGTCGCCTCTTACGACAAGCATGGGTTGTTGAAGATCAATTCTGACATGGATCTTCACAGGGCCTCAGCGTCCCAAATCTCCACGTGTGATACAGCCAATATGGCATCAGTACCTGTGCACTATAAGCAGCAACAGAAGCAGGTGAAGACAATACCCATCAACAGAACTTACCCAGTAGGTCTTCTGTTGCGTTAGCATCCATCCTGTACAAATCATACCTAAAACATATGAACTGAAACATACATAGACGAAATACACAGAAACAATGAACAGACACTGACAACGACACAAAGTTCAAAATCTGATTATTTTTTGCTAAATTCTTCTTAATTGTCAGAGGAAGAGTCATGGGATGATAGAATAATTGTGGAAAAATCACTTGCTAGAAATCTTGAGTGAGTGAATATTATTTAAGGTTCAGTACGGCTATATTATGTTGGATAATAGTCGGCTCAGATCTGGATATCTTTAACAAGTTTCATAGTGATGAAAAAATACTAATGGACTACTGAAAGAAACACGAAATACTCTTTCTACATCCATATGTAATTTCCCTGCTTAAAGCTAAAATTACGACTTTGTCATGATCATGGCTAAGATTCCCCATAGCGGTTATCTGACTGAAAAGACCAAATAGCGGTGATCAGGGTAAGAAGATCAAATAGCGATGATCAGACTAAGAAGACCAAATACCGGTGTACAGGTTAAGACGATCAAATAGGTGATCAGACTAAAAATACCAAATAGCGGTGATCAGGCTAAGAAGATCAAATAGCGATGATCAGAATAAGAAGACCAAATACCGGTGTACAGGTTAAGAAGATCAAATAGTGGTGATCAGACTAAAAAGACCAAATAGCGTTGATCAGGCTAAAAAGATCAAACAGCGATGATCAGACTAGGAAGACCAAATAGCGGTGATCAGACCAAAAAGACCAAATAGCGGCGATCAGGCTAAAAAGATCAAACAGCGATGATCAGACTAAGACGATCAAATAGCGGTGATCAGGCTAAAAAGACCAAATAGCGGTGATCAGGTTAAGAAGACCAAATAGAGGTGATGAGACTAAATAGACCAAATAGAGGTGATCAGGTTAAGAAGACAAAATAGCGGTGATCAGACTAAAAAGACCAAATAACGGTGATCAGACTAAGAAGATCAAAAAGCGGTGTACAGGTTAAGACGATCAAAAGCGGTGATCAGGCTAAAAAGATCAAATAGCGGTGATCAGACTAAAAAGATCAAATGGCGGTGTACAGGTTAAGACTATCAAATAGTGGTGATCAGACTAAAAAGACCAAATAGCGGTGATCAGACTAAGAAGATCAAATAGCGGTGTACAGGTTAAGACGATCAAATAGCAGTGATCAGACTAAAAAGATCAAATAGCGGTGATCAGACTAAGAAGATCAAATAAAGGTGATCAGGTCAAGACGATCAAATAGCGGTGATCAGGCTAAGAAGACCAAATAGCGGTGATCAGACTAAGAAGACCAAATAGCAGAGATCAGACTAAGAAGATCAAATAGCGATGATCAAGCTAAAAAGACCAAATACCGGTGTACAGGTCAAGACGATCAAATAGTGGTGATTTAGACTAAAAATACCAAATAGCTGTGATCAGTCTAAGAAGATCAAATAGCGATGATCAAACTAAAGAAGACCAAATACCGGTGTTCAGAGTTCAAAGACGATCAAATAGTGGTGATCAGACTAAAAATACCAAATAGCGGTGATCAGTCTAAGAAGATCAAATAGCGATGATCAAACTAAGAAGACCAAATACCGGTGTACAGGTTAAGACGATCAAATAGTGGTGATCAGACTAAAAATACCAAATAGCGGTGATCAGGCTAAGAAGATCAAATAGCAATGATCAGACTAAGAAGACCAAATACCGGTGTACAGGTTAAGACGATCAAATAGCAGTGATCAGACTAAGAAGACCAAATAGCAGTGATCAGACTGAGAAGATCAAATAGCGATGATCAGGTTAAGAAGACCAAATAGCGGTGATCAGACTAAAAAGACCAAATAACGGTGATCAGACTAAGAAGATCAAATAACGGTGATCAGGCTAAAAAGATCAAAAAGCGGTGTACAGGTTAAGACGATCAAATAGCGGTGATCAGGCTAAAAAGATCAAATAGCAGTGATCAGACTAAAAAGATCAAATAGCTTTGATCAGGTTAAGACGATCAAATAGCGGTGATCAGACTAAGAAGATCAAATAAAGGTGATCAGGTCAAGACG